CCCTGCATCCCGCATGATGGAAGGAGAGCACGGACTCCCTTAAGTTGTCCTTTGACCTCCACACACGCACTGTGACACACGCACACATATAACGCACATACCCATAAATAAATGTAAAAAAATGCCAAAAATTGAAGTATACAATAGTGGTTTACAGTTGTAGTCCTAAAACTGTAAAAGCTGAAGCAGAAGGTGGCTAAGAGTTCAAAGCTAGTCTGGGCGTTAGGAGAGAGCCAAGACCAAACAAAACTTGAGAAAAGGAAGAAAGAAAAAGCACCTGTTAAAGAGATTAAATTATGTTCCGCATTGTCGACATATAAGCTGTCTTAAGTTAGAGTTTCTATCGTTGGGATGAAACACCATGGCCAAAAAGTAAGTTGGGGAAGAAATGGTTTATTGGGCTTACACTTCCACATCACTGTTCATCGTTGACAGAAGCCATGACAGGAACTAAAACAGAACAGGAACCTGGAGGCCAGAGCAGGGGTGCTGTGTACTGTCTTCCTCTCATGGCTTGCTCAGTCTGTTTTCTTATAGAATTCAGGACCACCAGCCCAGGGATGTCCCCATCTACAATGGCTGGGCCCTCCCACATCAATCACTAACTAAGAAGAAAGCACTACAGGCTTGCCTATAGCCTGATCTTGAGGCATTTTCTCAGTAGAGGTTTCCTTCTCTCAGATGGCTCCAGCTTGTGTCAAGTTGATAAAACTAGCTAGCACATAGGTTGAACAACTGTAATCTGAAAATCCAAAATCTAAAGCTTTTAGGAAGCCATGTGATACCACAAGTTGAAACATGTCACCAAGAACCGTGCCTTTGTGTTGTATATGTGTGTGTATCTGTGTGTGTGTGTGTGTGTGTGTGTGTGCTGATGGTGGCCAGGGGAGGATGTCAGTGTCCTGCTCTGACTTTCTATGTCCTTTGGGGTAGGGTCTCTCACTGAATCCAGAGTTATGCCAGTGGTCAGCATCTCCATTCCAAACAGGCACATGCCGATTAGAACCAGGTCTTCCCATAGGGCTACGGATTTGATGCTGGGGATTGAACTTAGGTCTTTGTGTTTGTATAGCAAGTGGTCTTACCCAATTAGCCATCTCTCCAACCTCACTTTACTATAAACCTTCTGAGCAAAAAAAATTTAAAAATAAACCTATCTTCATTTCTGACTTTGGTGGCTCAAAGCTTCCATCTAAGTACCTGGGAAACAGGAGGGAGGGGTATTGCTAAAGATTCAAGGGCAGCCTGGGCTATGTGGTGAGTTCCAGGCCAGATGTAGTAAAATCTGCCTCATAACTTCCCTACATAAGTAAATAAAGGGACCTTCAGGCTGTGGACATGGTGTTTGTGACTTTCAAGTTTGTATTATGCACATGCAATAATCCTTAACTCCAAAGCCTCTGAAACACTTGGTGGCGCCAAAGGCCCTGGCACAAGGCCTTCCACACGTGTATTCATTTCACCAGGACACACTCAAATGGTGTCATAATTCCCAGTCACCAACAGCACACCCCTTATACCACTCCATCTGTGCACCTCTTTATACCCCTGCTTTGTGATGCTGTCCTACACCTGGAGTATCTATTCCCATGGTGCACGGGTTGCTTAGTCATCACTTGCCGAAGACATAATTTTTGGTCCTTTTACTTTTTCTTCCTTGGAAGTACTTGGGCTTGGGCTTTTCTCTTTACTTTTCCTTTTTTATGTCTCTGTCTCTGGGAGAAATAAAGCTTCATGTCATGAAAGGTGGTCTTGAGTTCACTTTATAGCAGGGAATAGCTTTAAATTCTTGATCTTCCACCTTCTAAGTGCTAGGATTACGGGTGTACGCTAATACTCGTGGCCTTGGATTTTGCCTTTTTATGGCCACCTGTTTGCACAGGTCTTGGTTCTCTCTCCCTTCCATTCTCTCTGCACCCTAACCACCAGGTCCACAGTGCCCATCACTCCAGGAAGGCCTTGCTCATGCTCTTTCCTACAGTCACTGACAAGCCCTCCTGCAAGGCTGATCCTTTTGCCATATACTTGTAGGTCCCAGAGGTTCCAGGAGAAAATCCCCAGCTGTTCAGCTTGCTGACTCAGTCAGTGGTGGTGGTGGGGAGGGGATCATGAGCTTCATTCTCAGCAGGAGCTCTCTGTGGTCCTGACCTTCCTCCCTATTTCTCAAGCTACCCACTCCCTACTGCCCTGCCCTGTGAAGGTGAGTGTGTCCAGCACTTGACTGCCTTTCTCTTCCACTCAGCATGGTTTCCTAGGGCACCTCACTGCCCTGACAATAAAATTCAGACTTCTTTAGTCTGACTAGCAGTACTCCCCGAGGACCAGGCCCTGCTTAGCACTGGGCCTCCTCTCCCTTTCTGCTGACTAGTTTGACTCTGGTGGCCTGAGCTTTCTTATGTAATAGGCACACCATCCCTTTAGGTGAGGCACTTTTTCCCCCCCTAGCTGCAGCTTTTCCTTCCCTCACCCAAAGGTCTCTGTGTCTTCCTTCAACTCTTAGCAGACATGTCCGAAGTGAGTGTTCCTAAATGGAAAATTCAACATCTGACATGTTCTAAAATCTGAAGCCTTTTGAGTATGGCTAGAGCTCTGCCCGGAGCATTCCAGACATGTTCCTCCTCTGGGATGTACCCTGAGGATGGTGTCTGCACTTCCCCAGTGGAGGGGAGATGCGGTGCTCGTCTCTGCTTACCCAGCACCTTGTGCTAACATGTCGCTGCAATAGTCGTGTCTCTCAATACTGCCTTTCCACCTCCTCTTTGAGACAGGGTTTTATTATGTTACTATGTGGTGCCGCCTGGCCTGGCACTTGCTGTCTGGAGCAGCTCTGTTCCCACTTCCATCTGTCCTCTTGCCTTTGCCTCCCCAGTGCTGGATGCGGTGTATACACTCTCGCCTGCCTGCTTGTTCTTCTTGATAGAGTTTTAGCCCGGAGAATGTATTAGTAACCCTTCTGCTGCTGTGATAAAACACCATGACCCAGAACAGTCTGTAAAAGGAAGAGTTTGGATTCCAGAGGGAGAGTTCTCACGGCAGGGGAGGTGTGGCAACAGGTTGCAGGAATAGGAAGCTGAGACGTCAAATGCCTAACCCCCTGCAGAGGGAACCCTGGAAATGGAGCAGGGTTGTAAAGTCTCCAAGCCTACCCCTAGGGGTGTACTTCTCCAGACAAACGCAGCTAGCTGGGAACTGAGTTCTAAATACGTTAACCCTGGAGGATGTTTCTCCTTTAAATCACAAGTGGCTGGGCATTGCCATGCATTCCTTGATTCCCAGCACTCAGAAGGTGGGCTGGCTGATTTTAAGCCTACTTGGCACAGGCTGTAGTCATCAAACCTCAACTGAGAAAATGCCTCCCTAAAGCCAAGCTGCAGGCAAGCCTGTACAGCATCTTCTTAATTCATGGCCTCTGTATCAGCTTCTGTCTTGAGTTCCTGTTTGAGTTCCTGTCCTAACTCCCTTTAGTGATGATCTACAATGTGTTAGTTTAAGTCAAATAAACCCTTTCCTCCCCATGTTGTTTTGGTCATGGTGTTTTATCATAGCCATAGTAACCCCAACTAAAGCAGGAGGTAGAGGCCGACAGGACTCTAAGTCCTAGGCCAGTCTGGCCAATGTCCTTAAGTTTCAGTACAGCCAGGGTCACATAGTATATGTGTGTGTGTGTGTGTGTGTGTGTGTGTGTGTGTATGTATATATGTGTGTGTATATATATATGTATATATATATGTGTATATATATATTCATGGGTTTTATTTACAACCTTCTTGGAAGTCGGTTCTAACACAGCATAGGCCTTTACCCAGTGTTTGCATGAATTCATAAATTGCCCACTAAATGATGATGATAACATGTGATCATGTTAACTGCACAGCTAACATTTTAGAAATTCTGCAGCATGACCGATGCTGTTCTCAGAAATGTGTTTGTTTCTGTTCTCACAGCAACCCTGAGATATGAATCTCCCTATTTTATCACTTCAGTGGCATGAATAATGATAGTCTGGGGAGGCAGGCTACAGTTTTGTTTTTGTTAATTATGTGTTTGTGTGTCTGTGCGTGTGTGTGTAGTGCTGCAGAGACCAGAAGAAAGGGTCGAATGTTCTGGAGCTGGAGTTCTATAGGTGGCTGTGAGATGCCCAACAATGGTGTTGGGAACTCGAGCCCTCTGTAACTGCAATATGAACTCTAAGCTGCTGAGCTATGCCAACAGGCCCAGAACTCATTTTCATTCACTATTTGAATAGGCACAAACTCGGTTAGATTTTGAGGAGGAAGAGAGATGAGAGAAGTAGGGTCCTGGCCCGGCCTCAGATGGCCTATAGTCCCATGGCACAGAGCCACAGGGCCTGCTACTACAACAGGAGATGATCCGTCTGTTGATGAACGTTTGCACAGGGCACTATGGATTGACTTAGAGATTTGTACTTTAATTTTAAGAAGTGGGTCACAGTTATTTGATAGGAGTACAATATAAAAATCCATTAAATACAGCAGTTCTTATTTTTTTTGTTTCACGTGTTCCATGCTGTCCTCAAATTCAGTATGTAGCTACAGATAACTTTGACATCCTCCTCACTCCACTTCTCATGTTTGGTATTACAGGTGTGTACAGTTACTTCTGGCTAATGTGGCACTGTGTATGGAACCCAGAACATTTTGCAGGCTAGGCAAACCCTCTACCAGCTAAGCCACACCCATTACTCCTAGCCCTAGAGCACTGTTGTCTAAGTATTGTAATAAAAATTTTTCATTAAAAAAACATGGAAAATAATTTTAATATCCGTATCTGCAAGAGAGAGCCAATCAGAGTTATTAATATGTTCCTGTACATTGCCATTTTCCTAGTGCCTACGTAATGGAATTATTTTGACCAGAATTTAGGTAACACCCATCTTTATTTAAAACAAACAAACAAAAAAAACTTAGTAAAATGTAAAAGTCTATATACTGTTCCAAAACCATGAGCTTTGAAATGTGTTGTTGGGGTTAACCTTTCAGGAGAATCCTGAAGAAAGTCTCCATGGAGCCATCTGAGCGCCTGGCCAGTCTCCAGGCCCTGTGGGACAGCCAGACCTTGGCTGAGCCAGGCCCCTGTGGTGAGCATGCATTTTAAACTAAAACATAAGGGGTTGGATGCCCGTCCCCCTGCCAGGAAGCTGAGTCTATTCCTGGTCTGCTACTGTAGAGTACAATTAGTTCAAGGTGTAATTAGCATGCACAGACTTTAGATTGGTGGACTGAAGTCCTATATTTAAGCCTGGCTGCAGCCTGCTGTGTATGCACTGCCGAGCTAGGGAGAATCCTTGCTGCTTCTCTAGATGGGAAAGATAACCCGATTGCCAACAGCTGCCAGACTGAAGCTGTAAACTTGTGATGTGACAATTGTTTTACTGCAAACCTGTCAATATCAACATCTCTACTTCATGCTTCAGGTGGGTTTTCACAGATGTATGCCTGTGTGTGCGACTGGCTGGGATTTTCCTACAGGGAAGAAGTGCAGTGGGTAAGTAAGCCTGTACATCTGCATGCGCACATAACCCAACATACAGTATATTAGCATCATCTTCCCCCATCCTCCCTCTCTCTCTCCACTCCTTTTGTTCATTTTGCTTATCATCTCTCTCTGCAGATTACTCAAAAATCTGCCTGTGTCCATATGCAGTTCTTTGAGGTTGTGTGGCTTCTCTGTTTATGTACGGGGATTCATTTTTTAACTGGGATTTGCTTTAACAGGATGTGGATACAATTTATCTGACACAAGACACCAGGGAATTGAATTTGCAAGACTTCAGTCACCTTGAGCATAGGTAAGCCCCATCTTTGTCCCCTTTTTTTGTCTCTGCCCAGTTCTCAGGACTGTCACTCTTTGTCGTCACGTAGGGACAAAGGTAACCTTCTGAGAACCCTTTTATACAGGGACTGAGCAAACTCGAAGGAGCCTTGCTCATCACCACAGATGGTTTGTGGAGCGGCTTCTGTGTACCCAACATTAAAGTCCACATTTGGAAAATGCCCTGATATTTACTGTGGATGCAGCTTATAAAAGCTCATTTGAGGGGCTGGAGAGATGGGTCGTCAGTTAGACCCGGATTCAGTTCCCAGCAGCCATTTTGGGCAGCCCATCGCTGCCTGTAACCACAGCTCCAGTGGGGTCTGCTGATGTCTCTGGCCTCAGAGGGAAACTACACATATATGCACATAATTAAAAATAAACCTTAAAAGTCCATTGACCAACTATAGATAAAATATAATGCTGTTATACCAAATTACTACTTTCTAATAGTATTTCTGTGGTGAAAGTTTATACTTCATTCTAGTAAATGACTTTTTGCTACAACTTCTTTATGCTCGGGGACTTACTCCCATATCTATCTATCTATCTATCTATCTATCTATCTATCTATCTATCTATCTATACACACACATTACTGGTGAAAATCAGTTTGTCAATATCTGTCTGGCGGTGTCGATAATAAAATCATGTTGTAAGTAATTTGAAAGCCCCCCCCCCCCACACACACATACAGTTTTTCACACATGACCATGACAGGCACACCCACCGGCCAGCCTGATTTAGGCGTTTCTCATAGAGGCTCTCTTCCTGAGTGATTGTAGATTGTGGCAAGCTTAAGCCATACCCTGGCTTAAAAGAGGTGGTAGTCAAGGGCCAACCCCAGAGATGTCCTCTGGCCACCGCACACATTGAGCTGTGGCACATGAGTGCTTTGAAGTGACTGTCACCTATTAAATTTAGAGACTGTCACCTCCTCCCCGATCTGAGTAACAATGGTCTTTTTAAATTTTTTTTTTTAAATGTTTTTGACATTCAATGAAAGGGAACTATTTTTGCTGACAGCTACCGTTAACTCATACTTTATGCCAAGACAATTTTGTCTTTGGGAGACTGGAGAAGAATTTTGAATATGCTTCCCGATTTCCAACACTGAATATTGAAAGGGATTGATGCAGGTGCCTAGCTATCCCAAGATGAGCAGCTTCTGTTTCTTCATCAAGCATTTCAAACCAGAACTGACACTTAAGACCAGTCAGTGTGGCAATGAGGGTGAGTGTGACAGTGGGAGTGAGTGTGACAGTGGGGCTGAGTGTGACTGGGGGAGTGTGGCAGTGGGGGTGAGTGCGACAGTGGGGGTGAGTGGCTGCAGAGCCTGGTGGTGAATGTGACAGGGGTGAGTGGCTGCCGAGAATGGCTGCCTTGCCTTTTCAGCTGTTGCCATTGTAACACCTGTGCAAATGGCGATCCGGCAGAAAGGAGTTGTTTTTACCATTATTATGAAATTCTTTGTGAACAAGCAAGGAAATCTCCAGGGCCCCAGGAGTTAACGGACCACAATTAGAAGGCATGTGGCCTGCACAGGTGGAGATACTGGAGGACACTGTAAAACCTAACACTGGAGGTGTTTCTGGTCGTGGGCTGTTAGTTGACTATGCAGTTTGGTGCTGAGTTTGCTGCTCTTCCACGGAATTAGTTGCTCCACTAGTCCTCAAAAGGAAACTACGGGACCCATGCAGTGCAGATGCCTACAATATAGAGCAAAGTTGCTGATACCAAGACTCCATGCAACTGGATTTACCCATTTCAGGGATGGAGAATTTTCGGGTTTTTTTTTTTTTTTTTGCAAGCACTGAATTAATGGTATAGATGAAGATCACCAATTCTTTTTGCTCAGTTAGAGAATTAAATGGACTCCTTTTGGCCAGACGTCATGGCACACACTTTTAATCTCTGAATTTGAAAAGCAGAGGCAGATCTCTGTGAGTTCAAAGACCGTTTGGTCTACATAGAGAGTTGCAGGCTAGCCAGGGCTACATAGTGAGACTCTGTGTCAAAGAAATAAGATAAAATAAAAGGTCTCATCCATGCTGGGTAATAACTGCTTTAGACTCTGTGAGCCAGACAGATGCTGTTTCAATTACAGCAGGCCCTAACTGGGATGGTTTTACTTAAGGATCTCTTGACTGCAGAAGGATGTGAAAGCAGGACTCACTCAATAGAAACCATTCTGCAGATTTTCATCTTGGAGCCTTTCCTGGGCCAGGGTTATGTGGTTTAATTCATTCTGTCCCATTCATGTTCATATTCATTCACAGTTTCTGTCTCTCCCTCTTCCTCCACTGCCCCTCCTCACCGGCCTCTCTTTTTCCTTTTCTTGCCTGTGGCATTTGTATTCAAGACCTGGCTTCCTGCCGTGGCCAAATAAGCATTCAGGTATGGGCTTCCGAGTGGTCCTGCTGGACCCCTCCTGTTAGTCCCTGGAGTGGGGTAGTAATTAAAAGAAACTGCTGGGAAAAACGCCCGCTTAGTTATTAGTTTTAGGCTCCAGCGTTTTATTGTAGTGTATTTAGTCTGCTTAGTATGCTCTTACAGTTAGTTCTTAGTTAATGCTGCGCCTAGAAGAGGCATAGCTTGAAAAAAGCCTCCCTACACATTTCTCATGGGGTGTTTGGAAGGGTTTGGAGCCGGCGTGTTAAAAATGTAATTACACTGTAATTTGACATGGCAGGGAGAGACAGGGCAGGCGCAGTGCTGCCAAGGAAGGGGAGAATATATAACTCTGGACACATTGATTTCTCTGCCTCCCAGGAGATTTATAAGAGGACCTCATCTCATTAATCCTCTGAAGACTGGTTGGACACGCACCATTGATTTTAAACTTGGCCCACGAGAGCCCTTCGAGCTGAGTCCTGCCCGTGCGTTGCCATATTTCTTGGTCATGAAGGTGACATTCTTGAGCAGGGAACTAGCAGGAATGAGTTCTAGAGCAGTGTGTGTATGTGTGTGTGTGTGTGTGTGTGTGTGTGTGTGTGTGTGTGTGTATGTGTGGCAAAGTTCTGTGGTCATGGGCACAGTCTTTTTTTCTATCCCAAATCCAGTTCCTCATTTTTTTTCTCTCTTGTAGAGCAGGAGGTGGTGCCTAAGGGATGGGTCTGGATTTTGTCACCATCTTTAGAGTTCTCTGAATTTGTGAGTGTGTGCATGCGTGTGTGTTTTATTCTGAAGTTAATGTTTTAGTGCTATGGCACATGTGTGTGACTATAAATAAACTCACACTGGGTACATTTATAATCCTTTGTTGTTAGGAATGAATATTCAGAAGATGAAAAAAATTTAAATTTATTATTTGGAAATACTTGTGTGTACATGCATGCCGGGGCATATACATGGAATCTGAACGATAATTTCGTGATGTTGGATCTTTCCTTTCGTCTTGACATAGGTTTCAGTAATTGAATTCAAGTTGTCAGGCTTTTATGGCAACCACCTTTACCTGCTGAGCCATTTTCTGGCCCAATATAGAAGTTTATGGGCCTTTTTTTTTTTTTTTTTTTTTTTCCCAAAACAGGATTTCTCTGTGTAACCCTGACTGTCCTGGAATTCTCTGTAGACCAGGCTTTACACAGATCCACCAGCCTCTGCCTCCTGAATGCTGGGATTAAAGGTGCACACCACCATCGCCTGGCTGTTGAGAAGATTGTTAAAGACTGCTCTCACCCCCTGAGGATATCTGAGAGCTGTTTCTGTGGGATGCTGTCCAGTTAGTAAACTCAGAGTGGACAGGACATACCTCTGTAAACTAGGACGCTGGGAATACCTGCCTCTGCCTGCCCACCCGCAAGACAGAGTCTTATGTACCTTAGGCTACGTGATGTGCAGCTAAGGATGACCTCAGAGTTCTGATCCTGTTCCTACCTCCCCAGTGCTGGGTTATAGGCACGATCCACTATTCCCACTTTGTGTGATATTAGAGCAGGACCCTAGACCTTGTACACTAGACAAACACTCTGACAATCTTAGCTACAGCCCTAACTATTTTTTAACTGTTTTTTTTTTTTTTTATTTTCATGTGTGTGTACATGGTGTATGCACACACCTGTATATGTGGAGGCCCAAAGTTGATTTGGGCATCTTCCTCAATTTTTCTTTGCTTTATTCTTTGAGGCAGGGTCTCTCAATCAAATTCAGAGATCACCTTTAAGACTGTTCTTACTATCCAGCTTCTTCTGGGGAATTCTGTCTCCAACTTAAGAGGCTAAAATTATAGGTGGGTCTCCGGATCCACCCAGTATTTAGGTGCGAGCTTGGAATGTGACTCTGGTATTCTTTCATGCACATAAGAACCTTAACCACTCAGCCTTTTCCCTAGGACCCCTTTAGGTTTTAAGGCTCTCCAAGTTTCATTCACAAAGTAGATATGATAGGAGATAGTTTAAATCACTTCCAGGAAAGCTAGCCAATGACAGTGTCAGGAAAAGTGGTGCCATTGTGGCAGTTTCCCACTGCCTTTCCATGTGTGAGCTGCTCTGTGTATATACAGAGCTTATGGAGTAACAGGGCTAGCCGGTCTCTCATGCCACCTCTCTGAGCCTTCGTTTGGGCTTGCAGTTGTGTGCCATTGTGCCAGGCAAGTCGTTTATTTTTAAGTTTAAAACAATGACAACAAAAAACTTATTCAAGAAGATAGTGGTGGCCCTCTGATGTCAGGAATGCTGTCAAACTCCTATCCTCAAGCAATCTCCTGCCTCAGCGTGTTGAGCAGGTTATCCATATACTGATCATTTTAGTTTATTGTTCAAAGTAACAAAAGTAAATTTTTATTAGTTGAGTAATCACTTCAAAAATACATCGTAGAGAGCTAAGGATGTAGTTCTGTTATTATTATGCTCAAAGCCTAGGCTTCAATCCCCAGCAGTGTATAAGATAGGGCAAATAATCCCAGCTGAGGCAGGAGGGTTAGAAGTTAGGCCATTCTTGGCCTCATAGAAAGTTTGAGATCAGTTTGAATTATAT